TCTTGGATATACTGATTATTATAAACATCTTGAAAATCATAATGTCGATGGCGTTATGATTGCTCGTGGGGCTTTAGTAAGCATTAATTTTTCTTTTTCTTTTTTCTTTTTGAATATGAATTTATGAGATGTTACACTACTTAATGATTCTTTCTTATTTATTTATATTATTTATATAGATTAAACCTTGGATATTTGACGAGATTAAATCTAAACGTCATTATGATATTTCATCAAAGGAACGTTTTGAAATTTTAAAAAAATTCTGCAATTATGGATTAGAACATTGGGGATCTGACTCAATTGTGAGATTTGATTATTATTATATTTTTTTTTTAGTTTATTCCAATTTTAATGATTTTTAATGATTTGAATTATATTATTTGAATTCTTGAATTCTAGGGAGTTAACAAAACCCGAAGATTCCTTTGTGAATGGTTTGGTTTCTTACATAGATATATACCTGTGGGATTACTAGAAGTATTGCCACAACGTATAAATGATCGTCCTCCATTTTTCCGGGGAAGGGATGATTTAGAAACTTTGATGGCAAGTCCTAATAGTAATGATTGGATAAAACTTAGGTAGTTTATTTCCTTTAACTTATTTATATTATCTATTTAAAATATTTAAAATTTGATTTTTTTATATTTAAATTAACAATTTATAATTTGTTTTTTTTTATAATTAGCGAAATGTTATTGGGGCCAGCTCCGGACAATTTTATATTTGTTCCTAAGCATAAGTCAAATTCATATGAAGGATAATTAAAATTAACGGAATTTATTTTTTTTTTGTACTATTTATAATTTAAATATGTAATAAATATTTATGTGAACTCTATAAAATTAATTCTATAGATGATGCTATTATTATTATTATTTTATATTTTGATATAATTCTCACATTATACAAAAAAAAAGAATTATATCGATAAAGAATATTTTTATTTTTTAAACAGTTTCATCACCTCTATAATATTTCGGTTTAACAAATGGCATCTTAACAACAGTTGCTTTTTGCATACGTTCACGTACTTTAACTTTTAAAGGAGTTCCAGCTGTATTATACCCTGTTCTTACGTAACCCATTGCAATGTTTTTACCTAACGTTGGTGATGGACCTCCACTGGTTACTTTCCCAACTAATTGATCTTCTTCATTATATATTTCGGCATTTTCTTAGGGAAAAAATAATAATATAAATAGATTATTAATAATAATCAATAAATAGATTAAAATTATTATAAATAGATTAATTAATAAGTATATTAAATAATAAACAAATACCTCGAGCTGGTGCACCTTCTACAGTAAGTCCAATGCGACGCTTTTTTACAAGTGATTTATCATTAAGTTGCTTTAGAATGTGTTCATCTCCAAGGAATCCACCTTCCACTCTACGACGTTTACCTAATAAAACATAATATATTTTATAACAAATATTTAATAATAAATATTTATCGATAATAATAATAATAATAATAATAATAATAAATTACCTATTGTCCAAGACAATCCTGCTTCTATTGGAGTTGTCGTTTCATCAATGTCATGTCCATACAAACACAAACCAGCTTCGAGACGTAAACTATCACGAGCTCCAAGACCAGCAAGTTGGACACTTGGATAACCCAACAAAAGTTTCGTGAATCGGGTGGCAGCTAAATGAGATACTCCAATCTGTGAAAATTTTTATTTTAAAATTAATGATCATAGTAAAAGAAGTAAAAAGAAGTAAAAGAAGTAAAAAAAGGG